GTGGTATTTGGAAATGGGATCTTTGGGGGTAATTGGAGTTAAATAAGGTGTGAGAATGAGGAGGGACCCAAATCAGCATATTCGCTCTTGTCGCACCCTAAGGTGCCTCCCATGTCAAACACAAGAAACCTCGTAGGATGCTGTTCTCTTTTCTCCCTTAACTTTGAAAAGATGGGTCTTCTCTATAGCCCAGGCTGGTCTTGAACTTGAGGCTAGTTTCATGTATTTTGTTATAGAAACAGAAAATGGACTAACTCTTTTCTCCCTTTCTCACTATACCAGTCATTGCTAAGTGTTTATAGCAGTTGGAACCCTCCTTTAGCTTCAGAATTATTGTCTAAATATATAGTATGGGCCACTCAGTTATAGATAATATGGTAAAAACTTCTCCTCAAAGTGAGTACACTCCTCAGTCTGTGTAGTAATATGAAATAAAGCAGTCAAGTATAAACAAAGCGCTTCCGTGCTTGCAGCAGGTGTTACTGGGAAAGGTAAGCTCCCTTTCTCGCTCCTTCACTCTCCCACGGCCTACAGAAACTGAGCAAGCGCTCTTAAAAGCCCAGTTTCTTTGGACTGTGTTAATGGCCAGATTTTAGTAGGGCGAGGTAGGGTTCCAATATTTTATTAAAAATTATTTCAGCACAACAAAGAATGAGTTGATGTCTGTGCTCTACAGAACGGTGTGTGCTGTAATCATGCCCTTTGCTGACTGCCTCACTGACTGGGCTCAGCCTTCAGATCTTCAGACTCCCTTCTTCTTCAGCACCCTTATGTGTGTTTTCACTTTTGAACCTGATTACCATCTGTTAAGATTTTTTGTCATGATTTGGTGTGAATACTCTATTAATTCTAGCAGTCTGTAGCCAAGAGGATGGGGTGTGGTAAGTTCTGGCAAGCCTAGGCTATGTAGTAAGATCCTGTCTCAGAAACCAACAATACAAAAGAAAGAGTGTATCCTCTCTAACACCTTTCCTAAGTCGGAGAAAGGTAGTGTTGCTTTGTTTCCTTCTTTATCCCTGGATGGAGTTCTCTCAGTACTGTGGAACAGTTTATTACAGCTCCCAGTGAGAATCCGAGTGGGAAAGCCACGTCACCCATTATGTAGGTTATTCCTGGTTTCCTGGGGATCTGCAGCTGTTTTGAATATGTTATCATTTGAATAAGTCAGTGGTTAACTACCACATCATGTTATACCTATTTTATAAAAAGATAAATTAAGAAATTTATAGTTAAGATTTGGAGACATTAACATTCCCATGAGCTAAAATTTGATCATACTTTCTTACAGCTTTCTGCAGAAGTATGTTTATTATATCTGATGATAGTCATACATCATTGCAAATTAAATTTTTCCATGCATTGTTTTTCTCTGTCATACAATATCATAAAAACTCAGGAAGTATATGCTGCTCTTATTCTGCCATTTGAGGGCCATAGCTAGTTTGACAAGATTGACATGTCATGTCTGTGGATGTACTTAGCCTCACAAGCAGATCAGCCGTGCTGGTTGGTTACGGTGAGGCTGCAGACGGGAGCGGCATTGTCTGGCCTGGGAAGGAGCAGATGCTAAGTGTGCTGTGGTGCACACGTGCCGCTGCCTGGGCTTTCTTGATGGGAGAAAGGCTGCAGCGTTATGTCTGCCACCAGATTGTGGAGAAATGACTTACAACTACTGACCTCTCATACTGTCTCCGTAAAGGGTTTGCTTATGACTCTAAGGTTGAGGAATATACTACTGCTAAATTGAATACAGTGCTAAAGGGAACATGTGGTCGAATCATACATATTTATGTACGTACAGAATTTATAATTACATTTACTATAAGTAGTTCCTTTATGGGCAGCCTTTTCACCTGCAGATCATGTTTTCTTTGTTTTTGTTCCCTTCTAATTTGAGCTTTCACTAAGATTTAGACTTATTTTAAAGATACCTCATTTTAATCCAGTGTTGAGTAAGAGTATGTTAAAGGCAGAAGTCTCAGCTGCACTCTATCACATGTGTGTTTAAGCAGCTCCATCCCTGGCCTTCCCTTTTCTACTAACGTGAACATTTAGGTGAGTGTGTGTGTGTGTGTGTGTGTGTGTGTGTGTGTGTGTGTGTGCGCGCGCGCACACATGTGCGTCTTATGAGTTTATTATAGATGTATAGGTGGGAGCATAAGGGGAGAGAGCCGTGCTGACAGAATGAGGCCTGGAGTCAGCAGCGCTAGCCAGGTGGCCTTTTCATGCCCCCAGTACTGTAGCTTGAACGTAGGGCCTTGTGTTTGTCAGGCAAGCACTCTACCAAGTGAGTTACTTCCTCAGCTCTCTCGAGTCAGGTTTTACGATACTTCATAGAATTGGAATCTTTTAAAAATGAATTCTATGCCTTTAAAACAGGTTTGGTGATAATCTGTGAAATTTTAGGCTTTTATTTTTTCTTTTCCTCCTTCTGCCATGGTAGATGATTTTCTGCCTCTCCTATAATTAATTTTAAAAATGGTATTTTCCTAGAAAATTACTTACTGTATTTTTTCCAATGTAATTATATTAGAAAGTATTCTCTTGGGGTTATTTACATTTTATTTAACTTTCTTAGTGACTTATTTAAGTATGATATTAAACTTCCCTTTATTGTATTAAGATTAGATAGTATTTTTATTTATCCTATACTGAAGGAATTAGCTTTGGTTTCATGTATTATTTCTCTCCAATTTGTTTTCATTTCCTTTGAGGCTTTTCCTTCTACTTTTATTTGGTTTTAGCATCCCTTCTCTAAATTCATAGTTAGTTTGACTATTTAGACCATTTGCTTTTATTGTTTTCGCTTTATTTAAATATTTAAGGTGTGAAATTTCTTCTGAATATTGAGAAATATCTTAGATCCTGATATGCAGTATTTTTATTTTCTGTTAAAGTGTACCACATAATGTCTCTATGGCATTTTTTTTTTATTATGTATACAACATTCTGCCTCCATGTATGCCCACATGCCAGAAGAGGGCGCCAGATCTCATTATAGATGGTTGTGAGCCACCATGTGGGTGCTGGGGATTGAACTCAGGACCTCTGGAAGAGCAGCCAGTGCTCTTAACCACTGAGCCATCTCTCCAGCCCCCATGGCATTTTTTTTTAATAGAGAATTCTGTGTCATTTTCACAGTGTAAAAGCCATTTTAGGGTTTGGAGAGATGGCTCAGCATTTAAGAGCACTGGCTATTCTGGTAGAGCCAAAGATGGGTTCCCAGCTTTCATACTGAGGTGTTCACAAAGACCTGTAACTCCAGCCCCAAGGGATACAGTGCTCTCCTCCAGATTTTTGGGTTCCTGCAAGTCACACATACCTTATACACAGTTGCAAATAAATGAATAATAAATCTTTAAAGTATGTTTCAGGCAATAGAGTTGGGTTTCAGTGCATGTGCGTGTGCGTGTGTGTGTGCATGTGTGTGCATGTTCTCATATGTGAGTGCATGTACGTTTCTGCATGGAGCCCTAAAGATGGCTTTGGTATTTTCTTTAAAATAGTTCCTCACCCTGTATTTTTGAAGCATCGTCCCTTGCTGAACCCTGAAATCGTCCTCTCAGCTAGTCTAGCTAGGCAACTTGCTAGAGGAGTCCCTGCCTACACCTTTCCTTCTCTGGGATCCCAGGCAGGCCCCCACACCCACCTTGGCTTTGTGGGAGGCAGGGTTTCTGGAAATTCATATTTCTGGTCCTCATGCTTACATGGCAAGTGCTGTAGCACCACGCTTTCTCCCAACCCTTTTGCCTCTCAGACAGTAGTTATAGAGTAAAACCTGTGAGTAATATGTAGAAAACTGTCTGTGGAAAGATGACAAGCTTCCCTTTACCCTATGTAACATTGTAAGTTACACTTGACAAAATTCATCTTAATTAGAGGCCCAACTAATTGAAGGCCAATAATTTTTTGACTTAAATGGATACTTATTATTGTAATATATTCTTTTATTCTGTTTTGAAATGTCTTTTTTGGAAATTGAGACTTGCCTAACGATAGACAGAAGATGGAGAAATAAGGACTATGAGTGTGTGACTCAGTGGTAGAACTCTTACGTAGCATGTGTGGGCCCCAGCTTCAGAGCTCAGCATCACGTATGAACACATGCACACACAGGTGTGGAAATAGAAACCTCGTAACTTGCTGTAAGCAGCTGAAGACACAGTCATTATTGACGACTGTGTGTAATGATCACCATAATTGTGATTTGGGAAATTCTTGGTTGATGTTAGTTGACAGTCTGGACTTTAGGGTCCGTGTGTGTGCACTTTCTCTGGAGAGACTGCAGCGACTAGTCTCATCACTTCTTATATATTAAGGTTTCCTCATGGACAAGAAAGTCCATGTGATCTGATCTTTTTTGCCTTTTTCATATTTATATCTTTTTTTGGTTCATATTTATATCTTGATAAAGAATGCCAGTTTAGATAGAAGGAGAAGGGGCAGAGGGACTCTTATTCTGAACCTGAGAAGAAGCTGAACTAACTGGGGTACTTGCTTTTGCAGCTGGTAAGAATGCTTTAAATCTGAGAGGAAACCTAAACACAAAGCTGCCGCTCATTTAGGAAAATTTGCCATTAGAGAGATTGTAGAGCTTTGCCTTTGCCTTTGCCTTTGTGTTTGAAGTTGTTTTAGAAGCAGGGTCTCCCTCTAGTCCAGACTGGTTCTTCCTCACAGTCCTGCCCCTTCCTCCCATTGCCAAGATTACGGGCATGCACTATCATCTCGAACTAGAGGGTTTTTCTTTTGTGGAGTTTTACAACTGAAAGATAGAATACACTTCATGTTTCTAAATGTGTATAGTGTAAGGAAATCTCAATCTCACAGAAATATTTCCAAACAAATAAAACTACGTATCCCAACAGTAAGTACCTATTTAAGATTCAAATATTTTATTTTCATGGTAGGAACCCTAGTGTGTCTTGCTATTTGAAAGTCCTTTTTATTGAGAATGAGATCTTCATTGACCACCACTAGGTTCTCTTGTCTTTGTTTTACAGAGGATACAAGCAAGCATTCTAAAAGCATTTAACAACCCAACTACTAAGACTGCTGATGATGAAACTAGAAAAAAAGTCAAAGGTATGTCGACTCTGTTAAAGGTACCTTACAGATAGCCAGGCAGCGCTGGTACATGCCTTTAGTACCAGCACTCAGGAGGCAGAGGCAGGCCGATCTCTGTGAGTTCAAGGCTAGTCTGGTCTACAGAGCGAGTTCCAGGACAGGTTCCAGGTTCCAAAAGTTACAGAGAAACCCTGTCCCAAAAAAAAAAGAAAGAAAGAAAAGTACGTTATAAAGCAATATAATAAAGGTTTCATCATCCCAGAAGACTCAAGGAACATTGCAGAGGATAGCATCTAAGAGCTGAGGGGGGCAGGAAAGGGGAGTGTTGGAGAACACTTTCCTCTGGACATGGCCTACCTTGCACCCCAGAACTCTCAGCAGCTGTGATTTCCCAGTACCTGATCAAACGTGTTGTGGAGAGTGGAAGGATCAGAAAGCTCGCGCTTCCCCAAGAGGAGAAATGCTGCTCGTGGTTGCTAGAGGGAGACTCTTTCAGAGTCTAGCCACTGGTAAGATGCCATGCATCTATAAATGCAGATCTGTACTCATGCTCCAGTAGGGATGAGGAAAAGGGGATTCCTGGGAATGGGGGTCACAAAAGACAGTGGTTCCCTCTTTTCCAGAATCTAATGCTAGCCAGTAGTTCAAAGGTAAGGCCCCATGAGTGCCTTGATTTGTTGATAATGCTGGTCCTGTGTGGTCCTGCTGCAATAACTACAGTTGGTGTGGGTTGATGATTACGGTAGTTGCATCCTATCTAGGAAATAGCATTCTATAGCCCTTTACCCTTCTTCTGGCTCTTACATACTTCCTGCCCCTCTTCCTCAGTGTTCCGGGCCTTAGAGAGACTGACTGGTGTAGGTGACTTGTTTAGGATGGGCCCACACTAGATCTGTTCTCTGCATCCTGGGGCAGTCATGAGTGTGCACTCACCACTATTCATTTAGGGAGGGCTTCTCTGATTTAGGCTGGGAGACACTTGTCTGAAGAACGCAGTTTGCTGCTCTGTCTAGTTCACTACCAGAAACATTTCCCCATTTGAGTCTATGTCCCTGTACCTACATTGTTCACCTACATCGATGCTTTCATGTTGGGTTCAGTTCAGAGGGCAGTTCCGTTACCTTGTTTTAACTAGACAGAATGACTCTGTGCTTTAGGGACATTGAAGAGTCATTGTTTATTTAAGAGACTACGAATAGCGGCACACCCTGCCTGCTCCAGCATTTGCTGTATGCCTGTCAATGCCAGCCAATGAGTGTGTATCCTGTGGCACCCAGTTCCTACTGTAGTATGTTCTGCTTTGGAATACTATATTAGTATGACATCATTGTTATAAAGGACACTTACCTCTGAGTTTTATTTTGTAGTATTAAACTGTTTATAATACATGACTATAATTGATAAGTAAGTGCTCTAATGCTCTATTGTAGTTTCAGGTTTAAGACTTACTTTCTCAGTCAGGTGTAGTAGCACATGCCTTTAATCCCAGCACTTGGGAGGCAGAGGCAGGTGAATCTCTCTGAGTTCAAGGCTAGCCTGGTCTACATAGTAAGTTCCAGACCAGCCAGAGCTACATAGTGAGACCCTGTCTTGGAAGTGGGGGCAGCTGGAGGATACAATATCTCCAGTGTGTGCCTTGTTGCTGTGTGCTGTGATGCTGCCATCTAGTGCATGTTGGCGGAAGTAGCCCTGGTTTCTTTCCATCTGTCAGTTCTCTTTTTAATCCCTTGTTCGATTTTTCTTAATGACACATTGCATTTCTTAATAGTTTCTATAAAAAATGTCTTTTGGTGTTAAAGTATATCTTCTCTGTTATTAAGTGCTTTGAAATGATGCTTTTAATAATTTTCAACACTTTCTCTGAAAGTAGAGGCTTGCACAGGAAAGGAGTTTGAAAGCAAGATGAACAGTTTTGTTAATATACTTTCTGTCTCCGAAAACTTTGAACATCTGTCCAAGCAGAAAGACTAGCACAAGCCTCTTCTTGTGTGTGTGTCACCTAACTTAGCTATATCCATAGCATATTGTTTGGTCAGTGTCCTCCAATACCCGGCTATTTTAAAGTAAACCACTAGCACAGTTTCCTCTGAATAATTTCAGATTTTAAAAGTAATCACCAGGCACATGTATGTACATGTCACGTGAGTTATTAATCGCCATGGTCACTTATCACACTGTGCCTCACATACCTGTTTCTTACATCCCCTTTTCATAGCCATGGCTCTGGAATCTTTAGCCTCAAAAACTGTTATTTTCCCTATTCTTTCTACCTCTAAACTAGGAAAAGAGGCATCAAAAAAGCTCAGTGGGAGCAGCTGGGGTGTGATATAAGTTAGTAGTTATTGCTTGCTGCAAGGAGCCGTTTGTTCGTCATGGCCGCCCAGAACTGAAGTAATCACACGGAAACTGTATTATTTAAATCACTGCTTGCCCCATTAGCTATAGCTTCTTATTAGCTAATTCTTACATCTTAGTTTAACCCATTTCTATTAATCTGTGTATCGCCATGAGGTTGTGGCCTACCAGCAAAGTTTCAGCACATCTCCAGCTGCGGCTCCATGGCTTCTCTCTGACTCTGCCTCCTTTCTCCCAGCATTCAGCTTGGTTTTCCCCACCTAGCTCTGTTCCCCTATAGCTCTGCTATAGGCCCAAATCAGTTCCTTTATCATTAATGGTAATCCCAGCATACAGAGGGGAATCCCACATCAATTGCTCCAGTTATTTTACCTCTTAAGAATAGTTTGGGCTGGTAAGATGACTTAGCAAATAACGGGGTGTGCTGCCAACCCTGATGGCATGAGTTCAGTCCCTGGAACCTGCATGAGGTTAATTCTTACAGATCTTGGTACTTAATAACTATTTCCTTTACAAGATTATAAAGGAGAAAGATGCAGCATAATATAATAAATACATTATTGGATATAATATGGAAGCTTTACTTTATCCAGATAACTTTTGAATAAACAAATAACGGCATGTAACTGTTGGATCAGTGTTTTGTGACTTTTTTTAATTAAAAAGTGGGTGCTCTTTACAGCCTATGGAAAAGAAGGCGTGAAGATGAACTTCATAGATCGGATCTTTATTGGTGAATTAACGAGCACAGTCATGTGTGAAGAATGTGCAAATGTATGTACCTAGAGTTCACTTCATGGGCTACACCTCAATCACAATGTTTCTGTTGTGTTTTATTTCTCCAGCATCACAGTGGTTATCGATAGCTGTTTGATAAACTGATAGACTTACTTTCAGTAATGATTACTTCTCAATAACAATTCAGATTCCCAACCCCACTTCACAGACAACTAAAGCTCCTTCGGGAACATCAGTGGTGTCCTAGAAGTGACAGTGTTATGAAAGTGAACTGCTTTTCTTTATTAAGACTCAAGGGCTTGCTCAAGCTCAAATGCTAAAGCTTCTAGCACACAAGACCTGTTACTGAGGAAAGCAGAAATGCCTGTTATGGTGGCAGCCAGCGCAGTTAACTTCCCTGTAGGGATCAGATGGATAAAGACCACGCAACTCAGGTAATCCTGACTAGAGTGCATTTCTTCTGCGGTCAGCTTGCTGTTCACTTTCTCTGACTTACAACAGCAAGTGGTAATGTCAGCAAAGAGGTGTTCTTCTACATGCAGTGTTGAAAGTCATTAAAAAGACCTGTGACAGGTGGCTACTAGTAATTCTTGTAAAATACTAAAAAGTAACTTCTAAAAAGTAAGCCCCTTTTTAAGTTTTTCTACATAAACGTGTTTGTTTTTATGATTTTATTTTTCCTCTTGACTTACCTGAGTCTATTCTTACTTCACTTCCTTTGACTCCGCTCCCTGTTTTGCTGTGTATATGTAGCCCAGGCCAGCCTTGAACTGGAGTTCTCCCCTATCAGCCTCCCAGGCGGTAAGACTGCAGGTATATGCCACCGTGCCAGATAAGTCAGCCAGCCACCTCAATATGATCGGATATACGAGCTTCTAGTTTAGGTTGAGGTGAGAAAGACATTTCTGTGCAAACGAGTAAGGGTCACAGTGAGGTGCCATAAATTGTGGTGGTTAAGAAGACTGTCACACTTGATTTAGTTTGTGTGTGTACTCTTGACTCAATCTTTGAATTTAGTATTCTTATATTAATACTGTCTATAAGAACATAAAACATGCATGCATTTTTGTAGATTTTTCAACTGCTTGATAAGAAATATTTCTAAAAATGACTGATAGGTTAAACTATCAGATTTTAATAAAGAGTGTGAATGTTCAGTTTTTCTGCCCTCCCTAGTTTTATAAAACTAGGATTATTGTATCTCCTCTTGCCTGTGACATTAAAACATAGAATGTAACTTTAACTTTACTAATATTTATAGACTTTGGGCACAGATATTGATTTCTCTCTTACATATATCTTCGAAAGCAGAATTGTCCTAAGAAATTGGTCAAACATTGTCATCTCTGTGCGCTCTCTCTCTCTCTCTCTCTCTCTCTCTCTCTCTCTCTTTCTTTCTCAGGGTATCTCTGTGTATCAGTCCTGGCTGTCTTCAAACTCACAAAGACCGACCTGCCTCTGCCTCCCAAGTGCTGGGTTTAAAGGCATGCTCAGCTTTCTGCTTTTTCTTAATACTTCATATTTTGTCTTAACTTGAGACTTAAAGTCACCCAGGAAGTTTGATTTATTTTGCTCATTGACAAGAGTGTGTATCTATGTTAGAATCTAACTGACGTTCTCAATCTGCTTTTTCTGTTTTTAAGGTCTCCACCATGAAGGACCCCTTCATTGATATTTCCCTTCCTATCATAGAGGAAAGGGTAAGGAGAAGGAGTAAGGAAACTCCTGTGAAGGGCGTGCATTCATTCATTCATTCATTCTTCAAGCATCTGCTGAGCTTCTTGTCTGTATCTCAGAGTCATGTCGTTTACACAGAACTGGGTTTGTGTGGTGTATTTGATTGTCAGGTTGTGTTCATGTGCATGAAGTGTATGTGTTTCCTTACATCTCTAACAGTCCGCCAGCTCCCGAATAATGACACAGAGTTTTTATTAATTATGAAAGCTTAGTTTTAGCTTAAGATTGTTTCCAACTAGCTCTTAAAACTTCAATTCACCCATTTATATTTATCTACATTCTGCCACGTGGGCTCGTTTCCTCTCTTCAGTACAATCTTTGCCTAGAAGTCCTGCCTGTCCTCTTCCTGCCTAGCTATTAGCCATTCAGCTCCTTACTAAACCACTCAGGGTGCCTTAGACAGGTGAGGTAAAACAGAGACACATCTTTATACAGTATGCAAAAAGATAATTCCAACATTTGTATTTTGAAATTGTTAAGAAAATTACCTTTTTAAGTGGGTTGGAGAGAAGGCTTAGCAGTTAAATTATTGGCTGCTTTTCCAGAGGACCTGGGTTCAATTCTAAGTACCCACATGACTTGTGAGCTCACGATTGTCTTGTCTTAGTTAGGGTTTTTATTGCTATGAAGAGACACCATGACCATGGCAACTCTTATAGAGAAAACATTTAATTGGAGTGACTCACTTACAGTTTCAGAGATTCAGTCTATTATGATGGCAGAAAACATGGCGGCATGCAGGCACGCATGGTACTGGAGGAATATCTGAGAGTCTTAAATCTTGTAGGCAACAGAAGTTGACTGAGACCCTGAACATAGAAAACCTCAAGGCCCACACCCACAGTGACACACTTCCTCCAGCAAGGCCATACCTACTCCAACAAAGCCACACTTCCTAATAATGCCACTCCTTATGAGATTATGGGGGCCATTCAAACTACCAAGTTCTTCAACTCCAATACAGGTCCAGGACATCCATCGCCCTCTTCAGGCCTCTATGGATAATGCATGCAAGTGGTCCACAGACATACATGCCAACAGAACACTCATTCTAATAAAGTAATTTAACAATTATTTCAAGAAAAGAAAATTACCTTTTGACATTTCTAGTAAGTTAGGAATTTTGAGAAGAATTTATTTACTTAAAATGTTTTATGTTACATAGGTTTCAAAACCTGTACTTTTGGGAAAAATGAATAAATGCAGAAGTTTACAGGAGACAGACCGAGATCATAACAACGGCACCGTTACTGTAGAAAATACCCATCACCCCAGAGCTGCCAAGAAGCATTTCTCACCTAAAGAGAAGGCAAGTGAGACTTTGGGGGGTATGTTTTTAGTACTTTTATTTTGAAAAGTCTCAAGCATGTTAACAGATAGAAACAGCAGTATCTAAAAGACACTCCCCCTCCTTTTTCTCAGCTTTACAACAACCAGTTCATGACTGATCGTGTTTTTACCGTATATATCCATCACTTCATCTTTCCCCAGCCCAGGTTATTCTGAAGGAAATATGTACTTCAAAGTACACCACTAAAAGTTACTTTTAAGGAGCCCAGGATGGAGTCCTGCGAGTCTCAAACGTTCAGCAACACCCACAACAACAAAGCAAGAAATGAAGATGCTATCTATAAACATTACCAAAGTACCAGCATATATTTTGAAATCATCAGTTGACTCATTAGTAATATCAAACATGCTTTAAAGTTTGGATTTATGATCTAAAAGTAGGGTCAACAAATTACAGTTGATTAGCACACTTTTAATCTCTTTATAATCTACAGATTCCTTCCTTGAATCTATCCACTAAAGCAGTGTAATCCTTTTAATAGTTTCCCACAGTCAGCAGCAATTCATTTTGCTACTGAGTTTCGATGGCTCTGGAATGTTCTCTCTCCGTTACTTTTTCTCTACTGCAATTAGATTTAGAGGCCAAATTTTAGTTTATTTAATTTTCAGCAAGACAGCTTCCATCCAGGTATGGTTGTACATGCTTATATTTCTAGCACTCAAGAGACTGAAGCGGGAGGATCCCAAGTTGAGCTTCATAGTGATTCCGGCCTGGGCTGAACTACAGTAGCAAGATTTGTCTCTGAAACTGTAAACAAAACAAATTGGGGAAAATGGGGCTGGGCAGAAGGAGGAGATGGATTTTTACATGGTTGTCTATATTCCCACCAAGTAGGGATATATAGTTTTTGGTTTCCTTTTCCATATTGCTAGCTCTTCAAGCATCTTGCCAATACCTTATTTTTCTAGAGACATGTCTGGTTGTTAACTATTCTATTAAAATAGAAACCACTCTGAATTTGTATTTTATTTAAGGAGACTGCTTTTTATATGAAATAATTTGTACTGACTTGGCAAACTTTTAGAAGTCTTATCAGTGACAAAACTATAAAAGACATAATGTGTGGTTTTCTCTTGTTATTTTTATCTTACTTGCTAGCTGTCCATCTGTTTGTCTGTCTGGATTTTCCTTTTTCTTTTTCTTCTGAGACAGAGTCTTGTATTATAATTCTGGCTAGCCTGAAATTCACTATTTAAATCAGGCTGACCTGAAACTTGCTTCAACCTCCCACGTTCTGGGATTGCAGGTATAATCTTTAAATAAAGTCTATCTTGTTTCTACCTTAGCGTGGCTAATCTACTTGAACATGTTCCTTTTCTAACAGTGGAGAACAGGAGTACTTTGATGAGAACCTTGTGGGTTGGAAGTGACGAAGGCACTTCAGGTTCTGATGTGCTTTTCTAAGCGCTGACTAAAATATGAGTGTGTAATGACTTTTAGCTTTTGGTGCTTTGTTTTGGTTTTGTTTGTTTATTAGTTTGTTGTGAGACAAGATCTCCCTATATAGTCCTGGCTGTCCTGGAACTTGCTCTGTAGACCAGGCTGGCCTCAAACTCACAGAGATCCTTCTTTCTCTTTGCTTCTCAAATCCTAGGATTAAAGGTGTGCACCACCACTGCTTGGCTATTATTCATCTTTTACTAGACCAAATACGTAATGGTGGATATAGATGTCTTATGTCTCCATGAAAGGTTTAAGTCTCCCTTGTATCCCTTCTACAGAAGTGCCATTTCCTTCCTCACACACAGCAGCCACTGTTGTTAGTCTCCTGGGTAACAGTTTAGCTTTAAATTAGGGCAAGTTAGTCTATCATCTGTTGATTCTCGTTAAGGTAGGTTTTGAAATGGATCTCAGAGAATTGTTTCTTTAATAATCATGGAAAATTAAATAGGACTTAGCGACATTTGTTTTCCATAAGGTCACAAGATTTCTGTCAACTTACAGAATCCACTGAATCATGACAGAAAACCTTTAAGAGAATTGCCATCTGGAGAAGAGAGAACTGTTGTAAAGCATCAGAAGGATGAAAACTTTGAAGGGAGCCGGTTTGCCAGCATCCTGAGTACCGAGTCGTCACTGAACGAGAGCCCCACCGATGGCAGTGAGAAAGAAGCCGGCCTTTCCGAAAGCAGTGTCGACGCCGACAGCGAAGCCTCTGAATCCGAGAGCACATCCCAGCAAACCGTACTGTTCCTACCACCAAGTGGCGATCCCTGCGGGCTTCCAGATCAGCACCCGCACCTCTCATTGGCAAGTGAATTGCCACACACCACGGAGACTCACAGTGTTGACGAGGAAATGGCTGAAGCGGTTGCTGAACTTCATTTGGGCAGCCCTGTGATTGGAAATAGAGATTCTGACAGGGAAAAACATCCACTAAATGTCCCCAATAATTTGTGTTTTTCAGAGGGAAAACATATGAGGTTTCATAGCGCCCAAAATGCTTTTCAAACCCTTTCTCAGAGCTATGTAACGACTTCTAAAGAGTGCTCCGTGCAGTCCTGTCTCTACCAGTTCACGTCCATGGAGCTGCTCATGGGCAACAATAAGCTGCTGTGTGAGGGCTGCACCGAGAAGCGGCAGCAGGGCCAGAAGGACGCCAGCTCTGCAGGTGAGCCTCTCCTTGCTTTGCTCCTGCTTCCTGGTGGAGGGTAGCCGCCAAGTGGCCCATAGCTCCCCAACGGGGCCACTCGAAGAACCTGTGTGCATTGAGCCACTGTCACAGGCCTTGTCCCACTTGCCTGTGTCTCTGCGCTCAGGACACTGGCCAGGCAAAGTAGATTCCCAGTAGACGTGGCAGTCACTAAGGAAAAAGAAGTGTGTATATATATATCTGTGTCTTGAAAATACAAACCGATGTATTCTCATCTGAGGGATTTGAAACCTTTCCAAAATGCCCTTAAAATTTACAGTTGAATCTCTAGTGGGATTTGAGATTACTGGCCTTTCCAAAGGCCCTCAATCACCTATAAACATGTTTACGCCATGAATCTAGTGTTTGCTTGGTTAAAGAGGGTGTTCTCACGTGATGAATTTTCACTACATGACAAACATAAATGACTGGAAAGACTACTGTCAGTGACGGCTGTGCTGTTGTGCAGGATGAGAGAGGGCTTAGAAGGTAAAGTGTTTGCTGAAACAAGCATGTCGACCCAACTTCTGGTCCTTGCCCCTGTGTGAAAGCCAAGGGACGCATCCTGAAGCCCGAGCACGTGGGAGGCAGAGACAGGCAGATCTCTGGTTACATAGAGACCTCCAGTACAGCCAGGGCTACGTACAGAGACCCTCCCTGTCTTTAAAAAAACAAAAAACAGTGATGGTAGTGGTGATGCACACCTTTAATCCCAGCACTTGGGAGGCAGAGACAGGCGGATCTCTGTGTGTTCAAGATCAGCCTGGTCTACAAGAGCTAGTTCCAGGACAGGCTCCAAAGCTACAAAGAAACCCTGTCTCGAAAAATCAAAAAAAGGGTGTACGCCAGCACAGATGTCTATCACATTCTAAATAATATGTTCAATGGAATTTTACAAGTAACTTGGTTGTATTTTATGCAGAAAAGAAAGCAGGAGGAGTTTATACTAATGCCAGGAAGCAACTACTTATATCAGCTGTACCAGCTATCCTAATTCTTCATCTTAAAAGATTCCACCAGGTAAGAGTCCATTTACTAACACTATAGTCAGTTTCAGCATATGTTTGCAGAGCCCTGAGTCCTAGGGGAAATGGTTCAGCATTTCCTTGAATTAAAAAAATTGTGAGATGACCTGCACTGGTTGGGCGGGGGGGGGGGGGGGGCACAGGGACGGGACTTGATTAACAGTTTTGAAAAGTATTGCAAAATTTAAGTGGTAGGAACTTCAGTGAAGGCTCTAAGTGGCGTGTGGTCACAGGTGTGTTTAATGGAGACTAAATGTTATCAAGAAGAATTAAAGGAGCAAAAAGGCAAAGCCCACATGGCTTTCTGAGCTGTCATGAGCAGGCTGAGATTGTGTTTGGGCTGGGCAGTATTGACTAGGGACCCAGGAAGGCTTCAAAGGAGGCTCTACAAGACTGCTGGATGGGGTGGGGGTGGGGGTGGAGGGAGGGACACAGGACCGGACACCTAGATGTTTTTAGTGTCTAAGAAAAGATGGCTTACTCTCACTGTTTATCATTTTAACTTTGTATCTTGTTCAGTGGGGTTTTGTTTTTCTTTTTGGTGTTTGGTTTGAACATAGGGCATTCTGTTTGCGAGGCAGATATGCTCTGCCACTGATCTACATAGCTTGCTATGTTTTTCTTTTCTATTTTAAGTTAAAAGCATGGTCTTGGGAAGTTGCCCAAGCCAGTCTGAAATTTTCTGGGTAGCCTAGGAAGGCCTTGAAATTGCAATCTTTTTGCTCTGGCTCATAGGCAGCTGGATTATAGACTGTGCGGTCAACCCTACTTTTTTTTTTTTTAATGACTTTCAATTTCGCTGGAAGAAGAAATAAATATAGACTACTAAGTTTCTTCTTTTGTTTTTGTTGTTTTGAGACAGGGTTCCTCTGAGTAGCCCAGGCTGTCCTGGAACTAGCTTTGTAGACCACCCTGGCCTCAAACTCAGAGATCTGCCTGACTCTGCCCCCCAAGTACTGGGATTGAAGGCCGGGTCCACCACTGCCAGCACTAACTTCTGTTTTTAAATAAGAGGGTTTTTTTGTTTGTTTATTTTATATTTTAAAATAAAATTAATGCTTTCAGAGGTAGTGGCGCATGCCTTTAATCCCAGCACTTGGGAGGCAGGAGGAGCTCTGAGTTTGAGGCCAGCCTGGTCTACAAGAGCTAGTTCCAGGACAGGCTCCAAAGCTACAGTGAAACCCTGTCTCTAAAAACCAATCAATCAATCAATAAATTAATTAATTAAAATAAAATAAAGTTAGTAATCGGGGACTAAGTAAATCATTCATTTGGTAATGTGGTTAGTAAAGGAAGGAGAAGGGGAGGGAGGGAAAAGGAAAGAGTTAGATATTTGTTAGTGATTAAAGCTCACGCCTTGAATCTCATCACTGGGGTGGGGAAAGTGGGGGGAAATCTTTGTCAATTCAAGGACAGCCAAAACTATGGAGAAATACCTTGTCTCAAACAAAAACAAAAGAACCAAAACACAACCAAAAAAAAAAGCTCCTGATTCTCCAGAGCCAGAGTTACAGGAATAGGTATTTCATTACAGTGCTTGGTATAGTTCACCTCCACAGACTGTGAGCAGAGAAGGGCTTGCCGAGTGCAGAGACTAACTTGTTTTGTGTTTGGTACATTTATCCTCTTTAGGAACAACTTAAAAAACTTGTGTGCTTCAGGGGAGCTATTTATGAATACTTCAATCCTTTTTTTGTTCTGAAGCTAAATGTAACCTCAACAAAGCCACTGCCTTGTTCCCAAGGGTTGGGAATGGTGGGGACGAGTTCCTAATAATATCTAACATTTTGTTTCATAATATCTGTAAAATCTTGTTTCTCTGTATTAAATTAGAGCTATATTTCAGAACCAGTCACAGCACTTAAAAGCAAACCTCTATTCAAAATCTTTGTCATAGGTATACCAAATAGATTATATAACCATGCAGACAGCTTTTAAAGAAAGATGTTGACCACAATAGATAGGTATTGAGCTCTAGAAGAAAGAATACAAACTTTAGTAAAGTACGAAATAGCTTCTCAGCAGCCTCAGACTGACTAGGGAAAACAAAGTTATTCACTAGTGTGAATAATCTCAATGCTGGTATTGGTTGCTTATATAGGTCACTTGATGAAAAAAAGAGGCAAAGAAATTGAATATAGGTTGAATTCCTGGATATGATTTCATAATTTCATATTGGCTATCATGTGAATCCTTTTATCATGATCATCTGGGGACTGTGGAAATGGCTTAGTCCATAAAGGCCTAACATGTAAAGGAAGCACCTGAGTTTGATCCTTAGAATCCATGTTTAAAAAGAACTCGACATGATGGTATATGTTTGAAATGTCATCTGAGGGGAGGCAGAGACAAGCTGATCATCCAGGGAGTCTAATTGGTGAGTTCTAAGCCAGTAAGAGACTATCTCAAAAAGCAAAGTGATGGCCAGGTGGTGGTAGTGCAGACCTTTAGTCCTAAACACTCAAGGGATAAAGGCAGCAGGCAGATCTTTGAGTTCAAGGCCAGCCTGGTCTACAGAGTGAGTTCCAGGACAGTTAGGGTTAAACAGAGAAACCCTGTCTCAAAAAAACAAACAGAAAAGCAAAGTGGTTACAGTTGAGGAAATGACATCCAAGAAATGACATCAGAAGTTGTCCTCCTATCTCCTTGTGTATCCTCAGTACATGTACACATGCCTGTTCACACCTACATGGAGGAGCACACCTACAGGAAGGAGCACACTTACAGGAAGGAGCACACCTACAGGAAGGAGCACACTTACAGGAAGGAGCACACCTACATGAAGGAGCACGCCTACATGAAAGAGCACACACATTTACACACACACCTACAGATCACCTGGGCAACATTAGTTGGTATATTTTTAAGTAATTTTTTTTCCTTAAAGAAAACTCAGAATACAGTGTGACAGATACAGTGTGAAGTTGTTTGCTTGGTATGCAGTGAGGAGACCGGTGATGAGGGGACCCTGCACAAAAGAGGGCATCTGCTAACGCTTGTCTGTGCACACTGCAATTATAGTTTTACCTGTGTTATTTGTGTGTGAGTACACATGCGCAGCTCTAAAGGACCGCTTTAGAGTTGGTTCTCTCCTTACACCGTGGGTTCCAGGGATTAAACTTAGGTCATCACACAGTAACTGCCTTCTCCTGCTGAACCATCTCACCAGCCCTCCATTAGTTTTTATTACCACACAGTAGAGAACGCACATTTGTCAAGGTTAGCTTTGGAAAGTAAGAATAGAAAAAGAGGTAGAACTGATGAACATGAAAGTTCATTGTAACATTTACTTTTATTGAAAAATATTGCAAGTGTTCTGTAGCAAGAATAATAAAACCCAGAGACAGATATAGGGGTTAAAGCTGAAGGTCAGAGAAACAGAGCAGTCAGCCACTGCAGAGACCTTTACCTCTACCAGTGCTCGGGCCAAAGGGGTGATCCTCAGTCTGCCTAGACTGCACTGTCTCCACCACACTCCAGCAAGTGTCTCTCTTCTTCTTTGTAGTCCTCTCTCCACCCAGCCATATCACCCCTGTTTCCACCTCCCTAGTGCTGGGATTAAAGGTGTGTGTCTCCCAAACACTGGGATTAAATTTGTGAACCACTATTATCTAGATCTGTCTCTGTGCAGATCTGTAGTGCAGAGAATAGCCTTGAACTCACAGAGATCCCTCTGCCTCTGTCTCTGGAGTCCTGGGATTAAATGTGTATGCCACCTCTCCCTGGCCTCTAGTGGCTTATCTTTGCACTCTGATCTTCAGGCAAGCTTTATTTATTAAAATACAAATAAAATACACTGCAGTGTTTGAGTTCTTTCACAGTGAGTGAATTTCATTGAATTTTAGAAATGAAAAGAACCTAATAAGATCCAATTGTACCCATTTTCTGACTTGACCTAGATGAGATTGCCTGCAGTCAAGTTCATTTTTAACTAGTCACTGAGTTAGGTATCCTTGACCCTTTGCTGACCACATTTTCATGATAGTATGTGTCAGGATTAGCTTTTAGCATATTAAACTTATTTTTCCATTAATTGTTGTAAAAACTACAAAGTAATTATTTACCTTATTCATGGCAAAAAAGATCCCCTGTGAACAAATAACCTTTCTAATAACAATATATGACATTTAATTTTTAATATGTGAAACTTGATATGACTTATTAATCATATTGATCATACTTTACTTATATCTATGAGAATAATAACTTCTAGAATTCTACCTTTGGTTTTAATTTACATAGTACTTTAAACTTAAGATTGTTTTACTAAAAATATTATTTTGTCTTTTTCAGGCTGGCTTGAGTCTTCGTAAAGTGAACAGACACGTAGATTTTCCACTCACCCTTGACTTAGCACCGTTCTGTGCTGCAGCCTGTAAGGTATGACATATTAAGACATGTTGAGGTTTTGCTCTTGGCTTTTTACCTTTACCCACCACCCAGCTCTCAAATAAATCATACATGGATGCTTATTCTTAGTTATGAATGTCTGGCTTTAGCTTGGCTTGTTTTTTGCCAGCCTTTTTTTTTTTAAACAAACTCTTTTTAAGATGTATTTATTTATTTGTCTGTTTATTTATTACGTATACAGTGTTCTGCCCTCATGTATGCCTGTTGGCCACAAGAGGGCACTACATCTCATTGTAAATGGTTGTGAGCTATCAATGTGGTTGCTGGGAATTGAACTCAGGACGTCTGGAAGAGCAGCCAGTGCTCTTAATCTCTGAACCACCTCTCCAGCTCTCTTGCCAGTTTTTCTTAACTTAAATTTTCCCCGACTACCTTTTACCTCTGGGCTTTTTCCTTTTCTTACTTCTGTATATGTTATTTTCACTCCTAATCCCTGGCTCGCTGGGTGGCTGGCCCTTGACATCCTCCTCCCCTTGTTCTCTCATTGTTCCTCCTCTTCCCCATTTTCTCCTCCCATTTATCCTCTCTGCCTGTCAGCCCCACCTATCCTTGCTCCTGGCTTCAAGCAAGAGTGAGGCAGGGACGGGCAGATCTCTGTGAGTTCAAGGCCAGCCTGGTTTACAGAGCACATTCCAGGACCGGCTCCAAAAGCTACAAAGAAATCCTAACTCAAAAAACTGAAAAAAAAGAATTGAGACTTTTTAAGCTCAGTGTTTAGTTTTTGAGAACATTGTGTTTTTGAAGTACCCATTCTAAAGAATGCCTGACGTATTTAAAGTAGACAGAACAGTACAGTGAACCTCCATCTTGCATTCCTAAAAGGCTCAGGCTGTGGCCAGTCCTCATCCATATGCTTTTGTCTTCTGGTACTGCTTTCCTCTTTTACGTGTCAGCTGTCATTTCATTGTGCACGTCTAAAATATAATAATTCCTCTGTGTTCTTTTTCTGTTTTTGTTTTGTTGTGCTTATCTTTTGAGATATGATCTTGCCCAGACTGGTCCTGAACTCATGAGCCCCCTACCCTAGCCTTCCAAGTGCTGCTGGGGTTACAGGCTTGTACCACCCTCACTACCATATATTTTCCTATGTAGATTGCTTTCTTTTTGTGGGTGGGGGTGGCAAGTGAACCCAAGCCATCTCACATGCACTGGGCTTTATGTTCCTCGCCCTCTCCCATTTTAACACAACCACAGTGTCAGTTAATATATCTTCATATATTAGTGTTTATGTTTCCTGCTGTCTCATAAATGTGATTTTTCTCATAAATGAATTATATACTAACTCATTTTAAAAATCAATACAGTAGTTAAAATGAATTAGTTTACAAATAAATCAAAGATTCCTATAATACTATTTTAATGCATAATTTCTTCTTTTTCTTTTTGGAATCTTTCTTGTATTTTGCCATGATTTAGGTTTTGATGATTATCTCTCTATCATTATTGTTTTCTACATGCAAACAGTTGTAATTAAAATAGATTGGATAAATTTGGGATTGATAATCTCCCCTCTGTTTTGTTTTCTAATGCAGTTCCGTGGCGGGCTTTCTGTTCATTGAGAAGCATAAGTATCTCAGTATGTTTTGGTTTGGTTTGGTTTTTGTTGTTTGTGTTTATTTCTTCGAGACAGGGTTTCTCTATGTAACAGTCCTGACTGTCCTGGAACTCAGTTTGTAGACCAGGCTGGCCTCAAACTCACCGGGATCCAACTGTCCCTGCCTCCCAAGTGCATGCACCACCACCGCCCAGCTTCTCAGTATGGTTTTAAGAATGTTTCTCTTATGCATTTACTTTTCCATGCAGTGTTTAACTGAATTTTACTAAATCTTTTTCTTTGAAAGAATATAAGTGTGGGAGAGAAAGTTCTCTATGGTCTCTACGGTATAGTGGAACACAGCGGCTCAATGAGAGGAGGCCATTACACTGCTTACGTGAAAGTGAGAGTGCCCTCTAGGAAGTTATCTGAATATATGACTGGAAGGAAAACTGTACCAGGTAAGTATCCTAAGTATAGTTTGTTCTTTTTTTTTTTTTTTTTTTTTTTGGTTTGTCGAGACAGAGTTTCCCTTGTATGTATATTTTATTCTTCCAAGTGGAAGAATTCTCTCTCTCTCTTTTTTTTTTAAAGAAGTGAGTTATAGATTCATTTTATTAATCTTAAGTCTGCTTAGATAATCTTTAAGACTCTTAATAATCACAAAGTAGTATCCTTTTAGGTAGTATGAACTGACAGGTGATTTTTTTTTTTAAAGTAGTTCAGAGAGGTCGTAGTGTGTGTGTGTGTGTGTGTGTGTGTGTGTGTGTGTGTGTCAGGCCTGGGGACTTCTGGGTAACCCTCCTTTCTGCCTCCCATCTCCCCATAGGGCTGTTGGGATGACTGATAGGCAACATTGTTCTCTGGCTTTTTTTGTTTTGGCTTTGGGATCAAATCAGTTCAGCAGGCTTGTGTGGATGGTGCTTCTGACCACTGGGCCACTCCATCAGCAGCACTACCCAGCCTTCTGAAGCAGTACGAGGTCCTCAAAAGAGTAGGGCATGGAAATTTGCTAGCTGTGCTCAAAGGCCATTAGATTTGCTTCCCCATTCCCTGTATTTTTTAAGGTGTATTTTTATGGATATTTGTGTGTGAGTATGCAGGTGTGTGTTCATGTGCAGCTATGAATGCAGTTGCTTATGCAGTTCAGAAGAGGTGTGCCCAAGAGAAGAGTTATAGAGGTGATTGTGATTTGCCCAGCATGGGAGCTGATAACCAAACTCCGATCCCCTGCAAGAACAGTAAATGACCAGTGCATGCTGAGCCATCTCTCTCACCTCTCTGTTATTAGTTTTTGCTGTTGGTCGGTTGGTTGTTGTTTTTGTTTTGACATAGGGTCTCACTACACAGTCTGACCTGGAACTCACTGTAATAGGTCAGGCTGACCTCACAGCGATCCACCTCCTTCTGTCTCCCTCATGCTGGGATTAAAGGCATGCACACCACACCCAGCTCCTTTATTAGTTTTTAAAATGTATTTATTATTTATGTGTCTGTGTGCTTACTGTATGTACATGTGCATATGTTTGGAGGCCAAAGAATAGTTTTGTATAACTCAGTTTTTCCTTCCACCTTTGTGTGGGCTCCAGGGATCAAATTGGTGGCCAGGATGGTACAGCAAGCACCTTTCCTTACTGTGTCGTCTCTCAAGCTCCTCCTTCTTCCTTGTTGGTGAAAGTGAATCTTTTCTCTGGGAAATTAAGTATTAGAAGTATTTTACTAAATATTTAAATTAAAATTTTGTTAACTGGCCGGGCGATGGTGGAGCACGCCTTTAATCCCAGCACTCGGGAGGCAGAGGCAGGCGGATCTCTGTGAGTTAGAGACCAGCCTGGTCTACAGAGCCACAGAGAAACCCTGTCTCGAAAAACCAAAAAAAAAAAAAAAAATTTGTTAACTGGAAGTAACTATTGGTATAATTTATTAGACACATTGGTGCCTTGGAACCATTAGTTCATTTTGGGTAATAATTTAAGAAAAAAACTCTTAAAGCAAGATGTTAGAATTAAATATATTTTATGATGTATGTGTTTCTGCTTACAATTGAGAGGATGTAAACACACTAACTGTAAAATTGTTCTTTTTGTTCTGCTAGGTTTGAAAGAACCTGATAGTGAATTGGGAGGCCATTGGGTCCATGTCAGCGACACTTACGTGCAGGTGGTTCCAGAGTCAAGAGCACTCAGTGCACAAGCTTATCTTCTTTTTTATGAAAGAATATTATAATCATCTGTCAACTGTTATTTACCTCATTTTTATTTTAGTGCTGCAGTGGTAACCGTATGTGTAATGTGCCTATGTGCTCTTAGGAATAGTGCATCCTTCCAATGTTACTGAACTTTTCCATCACGTGATGAATCCTTTGAAAACAAATTAATGTGCCAGGCGGTGGTGGCCCACGCCTTTGATCCCAGCAGAGGCAGGCTGATCTCCATGAGTTTGAGGCCAGCCTGGTCTACAGAGTGACTTCCAGAATAGGCAGGACTACACAGAGAAACCCTGTCTCAAAAAATTAGACAAAACAGATCAGTTAATGCTTTCAAATTGCTATTCTTAAATGATAAAATATATTTCATGTTAATTTTCATGTCCTTGGAGATCCCTTTCTCAAAAAACAAATCTCTTTTGATAGTAGTAGAAAAGTCCCCGTTATGCTGCGACTCGCCATCAGACATTCAGAGAGGGTGGTAAACAGACTCATCCTCTGATGTGCTGTTTCCTAAATGTAACACAGCCTTCCTGCGTGTATGTACTGCATCTGCTGTTACAGTTCACTTTCTGTTTTAGCCTTTTAAAATCTTGCCCGTTTTGAATCACACTTCACATTTTTATGTGCTTGTCGTTTTCTAGTAAAATATTGAAGTCAGTCTATAACTCTGACAGGAAAACTGTTCATCCTTGTACCCACTCCACTGGAATCATCTCAGGGCTTTGCAGCGGTGTCTGTGTGTTACTATACAGGAAATGTTGCTATAACAGTCGGAATTAGTGCCTAATGCAACATGATCACTTTTTCATAGTTTATCAGATTCGCTCATGTAAAAAGGAGCCACTGGAATTTTGGTAGTGTGAGTTTACAAGTAATGTATCGATTAGCTTATTGCTTAGAAAATTTGAAAATATTAAAGCATTTCATAATCATTTGTGGTCTGTTAAAGATAATTTGTAAGTGACTAGCTAAGGCCAAAATGAAATTATAGGTAACTGTAGCACATAGAACTGGTAAATAGAAGTTGATAATTTATATAGGACATAGGATACTTTAAGGAATTATCTTTGATTATAAATTAACAAATTATATTTATAAATGGTAGAAAATCATATTCTTATCATTAGCAAAAGAATATAATACGTTTTCTACTTCTATACTTCAGTAAATATTAAACAGGGTGTTGTCTTCATCAGCATCGTTTAAAGTGAAGGTGGATAGCTGGGATGTAGTTCTGTGACTGAGCACTGACCTGGCCTGTGCAAGGCGCTGGTTCAATCCCTGGGAACACAAAGATTCAGGTGGGCTTGGCTTTTATTTAATGGGGCACAGAGTTGCTACTTCTGTTTCCTTTAAATGATTAAGGAATAACACAGGATAGTTCCCCTTCTAGAACTCAAATGATTAAACTGTGAACACTTGGCATGAGAATTATTACTACCCAAAATTTAATAATCACTGAGGTGGTTACTGACACATGGTATTGAACCAAAATGTAAGGGAAAGGTTCGATATCCTAACCGTCGGTGCCAGCGGGTAATGCCGTGGACAAATGTCAGGAGAAACCTTTCACCAGGATCGAGCCTTTCTGACGGGCGCAGCATTATAAAGTCCCCAGTCTTGATATGTGGGTGGGTGGAACCGATTTGTCTAATGCAGAAATTTTAAAAATACCATTGTATAAATAAATTCTATTTTTAAGTTGTGGAGGAAATTCCAATGGTAATTCTATTGACTTTTCATATTAAAGATGGACAAATATATTTTATCTGCAGAGCTCAGTTGTGTCCTCTAAAGAGAGCTTTTCAGTATTTTTTGTTTCATAAAAATCCATTGACATGGAGTAGACAGGCACCAGAACAAGGAGTTAGAAAAATATTTTATTTGTTCAAGTTGGCATCTTGGTCATAGCAATTGTTGTCCCCCATCCCATGTAAATAGTTACTTTTTTTTCTCCTAGAAAAGATCCTATTAAGAAATATACCGCAGGGAGGGGAGAGATATACTGTGGTGGCAATATAATAGATGAGAGAAAAAATTTAAAAAATAGCAGTGGTGATGTACACCTTTAATTCCGGCACTTGGGAGGCACAGTGAACTCAGTCTCTGAGTTCAAGGTCATCATGATCTACAGAGTGAGTTTCAGGACAAGAGAAACCCTGTCTTAAAGGGGGGGGGGGGACAAGAGGGAGGGAGGGGAGAGATCTAGACAGATACTCATACCAAGCATATAACAGTATTTTATCACCTTTTAAAATGGGAGAACCTAAATCTGTATGATTTATACATTATTCTAGCAGTGACAGGCAAATAAAATAGTTTTATTGTTAACCTAGTGCTAATTGAGGAGATGCTGAAGTGTATTTTTTTACGATCTAAAGTTAGATTGTTTTTCTTGCCATCTAAAAATGAAAGTGAGTGGTTTGATTTTGATACCTAGAAATTTCTTATCAAGCTTTTGTAATAGAGAAAGGTTACTCAAGGTCACTTGAATTTGTGTTTTTATTTTGATGTTTCCATAGCACATTTGTAGGGATTTTAAATTGTGAGGCTACTGTAATAACAACAGTTTCCAGATTACCTCAGGAAACAGTGCAAATAAACAGGAATGTTTACAGGGCAACTCAGCTACTTAGGGTTTTGGCACAGTGAATTTGAGAAATAAAGGAAAGATGTTTTTAATATAGAAACTGGTTTACAGGGTATCTTAGCCCCAATTCTCCCCTTGTTTTTCCATACTTAAAATGGTAAAATTTTGATGATGTGCCAATTATGTGATTGTAACATAAATAAATATACATCTATATTTAAGATACATTGTTTAATGTTTCAAAAAATTATATGATGATCACCTATTTAAGTGGTCAAGGAAGTGATTGTTATTATCAGCTCAGAGTAATATATCAACAGCTAAATTACTGTATTTAAAAACATTTAGCTTGCATGTGTGACTAATTAGTGATTTTATGTAATAGTTGAATAAAATTTCCTGACGATTTAGATGTGAAATGTCACCACACATTGAATTTTTGTAGCACAAAATAACACCCTGCCTATGTTCATGAAGTTATACTCAGCTTATTTTTCTGCATGACATCTGATCAAATAAACCTAAACCCATAGGTGCAATAAAATCAAGCTATTAGATAGCATTTATTGCATTATTGGAAAAGTGGTTTCTGTATTAAAACGTTTTTGTTCATGTAGAAATCATCAATTCAAATGTGTTCCAAAGATAGATGATTATTTTCAAGTATCAATACTAAACTCATGGTAGCATTCCTACTCTCATGTATTTTTACAGTATTCAAAAAATCTACAGAACTTAGCATCATTTTGGCATTACTGTATGTATAAACATAATAAATATTAAATTCTTATGTTAATAATTTGGTCTTGGAGGTTTTGCATTATTTGTTATTGAGTGTTATAGAAACATTGTGTTTATAATTTAGTCTCCTTGGCTTGCTATAACAAAATATAATTTGAGGAATTTGTGAACAACAAAAATTTATTACCCCTCTCCCCTGCAAAAAAAAGCCGGGCGGTAGTGGTGCACACCTTTAATCCCAGCACTCAGGAGGCAGAGGCAGGTGGATCTCTGTGAGTTCGAGGCCAGCCTGGTCTACAAGAGCTAGTTCCAGGACAGGAACCAAAAGCTACAGAGAAACCCTGTCTCAAAAAATCAAAAAAAAAAATTATTTCCTACACTTTTAGAGGTCAGGAAGCTCAAGCTCAGGACACAGAGTCACTGTCCAAAAGACATCCACTTCAAATTTTCTGATAATGCCACCTCAGTTTGTTTACTTGATCAAAAGGAGAAAGAAGCTTTATGACTTCTCTTACGAAGGTCCTCATCAGATTTTTGTTTATTAATTTTTGTTTGTTGAGACAGGATTTCTCCGTAGCTTTGGAGCCTGTCCTGGAATTCACTCTGTAGGCCAGGCTGGCCTTGAACTCACAGAGACCTGCCTGTCTCTGCCTCCCCAGTGCTGGGATTAAAGGCCTGCACCACCGCACCTGTGGGACCTCATCATATTCATGAGGGCTTCACACCCAAAACCTAATCATTTTCTAAAGGCTCCAGATCATGTACTCTCACCCGGGTGTGTGTGTGTGTGTGTGTTTGTGTGTTTGTGTGTGTGTGTGTGTGTGTGAGAATCCCAACACTCGGGAGGCAGAGGCAGGCAGATCTCTGTGAGTTTGAGGCCAACCTGGTTTACAAGAGCTAGGACAGGCTTCAAAGATATGGAGAAACCCTGTCTTGAAAAACCAAAATAATAATAATAATATTTTAAAAAAAGAATGGACTATTTTAAAATAAAAAAATCTGCTCCCAACCTGGTGCTGGGGATTGTATCCAGTAGTTCTTCCACTGAACTACATCCTTAATCCAGGAATAAAAAAAATCTTACACAGGCCATTTGTAGTATTTGCAATCCTGAGTGTTCAACCTGCCAGCTATTTCTCAGGATGATTTGAGTCATTTAGATAGGATTGTACACTATTAAGTGTGTTGTGTACATGTTTGTTTTACCATCTTTGAAGTCATGGAACTTTCTCAGGTTATGATGAAAGTTATATACTTTCATTTTATTCAATCACTTAACAAATGCTTGTTGATTCCTGCTCTCTGGCATTAGGGATATAGCAGTTAATGCAAGAAATCTCTCAAGAAGTGAGGAGTAATGAGAAAATATGCAATGTGGCAGTGTCTTAGAACACTTTTTGTGGCTGTGAAGAAAGACCACGACCAAAAGCACTTGGGGAAGAAAGGGTTTATTAAGTTAGCACTTCCACATCACAGAGGCATAGGATGGTAACTTGGAAGCAGGAGCTGATGCAGAGACCATGAAGGAGTGCTGCTCACTAGCTTGCTCGCCATGGCTTGCTAAGATGGCTTTCTTAAAGCACCTGAGACCAGCCCAGGGGTGGCACTACTCACAATGGGCTGGGCCCTCCCACATCAGTCACTGATTTGAACATGTCCAGTAGGCTTGCCTACAGTCCTGTATTAGAGAGGCATTTTCTCACTTGAGGCTTATTCCTCTCCTCTGACTCTAGCATGCGTTGAGTTGACATAAACCAGCCATCACATAAGGAAAGAAATCTCAAACAATATTGCTTACAAACTATAGGGAATAACATCTGGCAAAGAAGGCTGTCCCAGAGATAACAGCTCTGGTTGTACCAAAAAGAAAGTCAAAGAGAGAAGAGTTAGTCTTAATTTTAGGGCCCCCTCTTATAACAGAAAGTGAGAAAAGAAATCTTGATATTTGTATGTCCCCAAAAAACATGTGCTGAATATTTGTAGTTTTAGAAGTTTGTGGGTTAGCCGGGCGGTGGTGGCACATGCCTTTAATCCCAGCACTCGGGAGGCAGAGGCAGGCGAATCTCTGTGAGTTCGAGGCCAGCCTGGTCTACAAAGGGAGTTCCAGGACAGGCTCCAAAAGCTAGAGAAACCCTGTCTCGAAAAACCAAAAAAAGAAAAAAAAGAAAAAAAAAGAAAAAAAGAAATTTGTGGGTTTCCTAAAAGCATTTTCATACATTTCAAGGATTACTCCCAAGTAGAAATACCTAAAACGTTTGCAAATAATTGTGATATTTCATTTGTATTTTGATAAAGCTTGTCTGAAGTTCAAAGTAAAACAGCCACACTGATCAGCCTTATAAACCAGGCAGTGGTGACATACCTTTAATCCCAGTAGCCACACTAGTTTGCCCTAGAAACCTGGGCAGTAGTGGTGTACACCTTTAATCCTAGCCCAAGAGAGGAATATAAAACAAAAGGAGACAACTCTCACACACAGTCTCATTCTGAGTTTCCTGGAGATAGGATTACCATTTTGGACTGAGGAAGAGGTAAGAGCCTTCAGGTTGACTTCCAATTTCTATCTCTGGGTTTTTATTAATTGTGCTACAAATAATCCTGTATTATTTTTTAAATGGTTATTTTTATTTTATGTGCATTGATGTTTTGCCTGCGTGTGTGTCTGTGTGAGGGATCCCCTGGAACAGCTACAGATAGTTGTGATCCACCATGTGGCAGCTGCGAATGAAATCAGGGTCCTCTCCAAAAGCAGCCAGTAAGTGCTCCTAACTGCTGAGCTCTAACAAGGTCCCAAAACTCAGACTCTGAGACCTTAGCATAGCTGAGTACATGATGGAAGTGCCATTCAGGCTGTAAAATTCAGCATATAGTCAGCACCACCTGTTGACTGAGTTTTCTGTCCTGCCTGTTTCCCGCAGTCATTAAGTCCTAAAGAAATCACACAGAGGTCTACATTAGTTATAAACTGATTGGTACATTAGCTCAGGCTTCTTATGAATTCTTATAACTTATATTAGCCCATTATTCTTATGTGTTAGCCACATGGCTCAGTACTTTTTTTAGCGAGGCAGTCACATCTTGCTTCTTCTGTGGCTGGGCCAGGACTGCCAACGAATGGGTTTCCTTCTTCCCAGAATTCTCCTGTTCTCATTGACCCACCTCTACCTCCTGTCTGCTTGTCCCACCTATACTTCCTGCCTAACTACTGACCAATCAGTTTTTATTTAAAATATAATTGACAGAATACAGAAAATTGTCCCATACCACTTCCCCCTCTTTTTTTTTAATAAAAAGAACTCTGAATCTAATATACGTTGTTTAGCTTTTCTCCTGACCATTATCCATAATAACTTGTAACCAACATTCTAAACAAAGAAAAATATCCATAGTCCATTTTTTTGTGAATGTGGCATAGTTTTCCAGGCTACTTCCTGCTGGTTGAGGGTGCTGATAATCTTTTTTTTTAAATATTTATTTATTTATTATGTATACAATATTCTTTCTGTGTGTATGCCTGAAGGCCAGAAGAGGGCACCAGACCTCATTACAGATGGTTGTGAGCCACCATGTGGTTGCTGGGAATTGAACTCAGGACCTTTGGAAGAGCAGGCAATGCTCTTAACCGCTGAGCCATCTCTCCAGCCCCGGTGCTGATAATCTTATGGGGACCTAAAGAAAATTTAGAATTATGATCAAGTCCTGACTGGAGTATTCTGTGAGGCTTGATCATCTCAGGCAGCATCTATTCTCTTCCTTTTTTATTTTAAGGACTTTAACCTTTTTATTTTCTCTCCCAAGCCTGCATATATTTCTAACACACTGTAAAACATTTAGAGGTTTTCTTCATCTTTGAAACTCTCTTTACTGTATCTCTCTTTTTTTCTGACCACATGAGTCTATAATTTGCTAAGCAATATGGGTAGGATTAAAGCAGTGGCTTTGATGGCTAGATCCAGCCCATTCCTCAGCTTCCTGAGGCTCCAGCCTCATGGTGGAGGTACTGGCTGTTGCCATGCCAATCAGTTTATAATTAATGTAGATCTCTGATTTCTTTGTGACCTAACGACTGCAGGAACCAGGCAGGACAGAAACCCAGACAACAAGTGGTACCCAACGTGTGGACGACTGTATCCACATAAAGCCTGACAGAGCCTGGGAAGTAATTCTAGACAGAAAAGAATAGACTTAAGCACAGCTTATTGATAGTAGCACTTTCTCAGGTGGGCTCTGTTTGCTAGTGGCAAATGCACCTCATTTAAGAGAGGCTTCCTGACTCAGCTTTACCTGCAAAATCTTGCAGCTCTTTTAAGAGGTCCTGCCATGAAACACTTAAATGGTGTTGAAGAAAAGCTGACTACATGCTTTTTGGTGGTGGCAGGGACCTTGAAAAGCCATAGGGTTGTGTCAATAACCACCTGCCAAAACAAAAACAAAGTCCTAATTCATTGAAGGCTATAGTTCTGGGAAAGTCTCTAAATGTACAAACCTTGCTTTTTGGCTTCTGTAGTTCTGCTTCTGAATGGGCATCTTTAATATTTGAACATGGAAGATGTGCACAGGAGTGGAAATAGATAAAACATTGTACTTTATAAGCACTGTATCCAAAGTGGAAAATTCAATATCTAATAAAACAGGTGGAAAAATGGAATGTCTAATAAAATATTTAAACTGGCAAAAAAAAGTATGTAAAAAAAAATCAGGTCGTAATATTTATGCTTCAAAACTCACCCTGAGCCGGGTGGTGGTGGCGCACGCCTTTAATCCCAGCACTTGAGAGGCAGAGGCAGAGGCAGGCGGATCTCTGTGAGTTCGAGGCCAGCCTGGTCTACAAGAGCTAGTTTTAGCACAGGAACCAAAAAGCTACAGAAAAACCCTGTCTCGAAAATCCAAACAACCAAAACTCACCCTGAGAAAGGCTCCAGGCTACTCTGGGATCCTGAATACCCAATTTAGTCATCAGCCAGCTAATAAAGACTTTCTATCGGTTTAAGCCTATGTCTAGTAAATACCAAACAATAGACGAATCATTCCTCCAGCCCCAATGATCCTGTAATCCTG